GGCGCGCCGACCACTTATATATGAGCTATGGTATTGAGATAGTTTCGTCGTTATGTCCGTTGATCTGTATTCGCTGTATTTTTCCCCGAGCATGCCCCCTTCCCCTTTTTAGTTGATATTCTCTGTTGTTATTTCCGTTGTCTTTGTATATATATATCTACACAGGTTGTTTTTGGTAGGTCCTGTCTAGCCTCGTCACTACTTCGCCGGGGTTAGGCCAGGCACTTACCAGCACATGGGGTCGGTTATGCTGATGCTACACTTCTGTGATTTTTGCACAGATCATAGTACCGGAGCAGGAGCCTTTGGTCAGCAGTAGGAGCGTTGGGAGCTTACTTCAGTCCGGAGATTTCTGAGGTAGCTTGCTGGCGTCCGCATGGCCCGGAGTCTCTCTTATCTCTGTCTTTCGTTTGATTTCCCTTGTATCGGATCAGACAGTACTGTATTCTTATTCAGACTTTGTATTTAGCATTCAGTAGAAGTTCATGAGTTAGTGACACCAGATCTGGGTAGAGGTGTATTTGAATTTCCGCACTTGGTTTCAGTTATTTATGTTTCGAGACTTTCGTTTTTATATTAATTGCCTCGTTCTTCTTTATACTGTTAATGATGTTGAGAGAAGTGTTAAATTAATTGGCTTGCCTAGCTCCTATTGGTAGGCACCATCACGACTCCCGAGGGTGGGAAATCCGGGTCGTGACAAAATACACGCACCTGCGGGATGGCAGAAGCGAGAAATAAAGACACAGAAGCGGAAGCTGGCAGCAGTGGGCTGGAACGCAGAAGCGACCATTTTGTCGCAACAGTGACATTGCAAATACGCAATGTACTCCGCAGATGCGAGCTCCTGCTGGGCAGTGGACATTTGGACATCGCAGATGCGCATTTTGGCTTGCAAAAGCGAGGCCGCAGATGTGAAAATGCTGTCTGCAGAAGCGCAACTGGACAGAAAACATAAGGACCAAAAATGGTCATTTCCTCCATTTCGTTTTGGATTTTTGGAGCTCGGTTCTTGGGCGATTTTGAGGAATTCTTCATGACTTAAACTTAGATAAGTGTCCTATATCCGAAAGTGATTATATTTCATGAATCCATGGTTATATTAATCGTTTATTACGGATTTAAACGGAAGAAATCAAGATTTTTGCAAAGCTCTTCAAGAACGAAAATTTAAGATTTGGAGGCCGAGTTGTTATCGGTATTTGATAAAATTGGTATGGTTGAACTTGTATCGGAATGGGTGTTCGGATTTCGTAAAAATTATGTAGAGTTGCTTGGTCGTCGCATTCCCTTGGAGTCTTTCCATTTTTATTGTACTGTCACTCTTATTCGAACACTATTATGTACTTGATTATTGCTGTATTCGGTTAGAGTTCGTGACTTAGTATTACCATTCTTGAATTTTTTTTAATTGTTTCTGCTTTTGGTTTCGACACTTGTATTAAATTATATGTTTCAAAAACAATGGCTCGAAATATAATTGTAATTGTCTTACTTAGTCTTAGAGATTAAGTGCCATCACGACGCCTGTGGTGGGATTTTGGGTCGTGACAAGCTCAATCGAGCCCGATCTTTGACCGAGTCAAGCCGAATTTAGAATGAAACAGGATCTAGCATAGCCATGCCTCTTTTTTAAAAAATCAGTTGATTTTACATCAATGAGAAAAAACTCACATATGTCTACTCATCAAGTGTATTGATCTAACTTTGTATCTCATGGAGCGGAGCTGAGCTCAACCGACCGAGCTCGAGCCAGATTTTTTTGTATGTATCTGCAAACTAGTCAATGCCTATAATGGTTTTTGTTTATTAATATATTATATTAAAATTATAATTGAAACGATAAATAAATTTTAATTTTCTCTGTGATCATGATTTAATAAAATATGATAAAAAAGTAACCTAATGATTTCTGTTTATTGAAATATTATATGAAAATTACGATTTAAAGGATAATTAAATTTGAATTTTCTCTATAATCATGATTTAATAAAACATGACAAAAAAAAGTAATTTTAGAGATTAAGTCAAGAAAAAGATAATTTAGGTCTAATCGAAGATAGAGTGTGATTAAGAATTCATTTTAGATTGATTTATTAAGAAAAAATGATTAATACTTTTAGAATTAACTATCTAATTAACATTTGTTGATTTCTGATTTACTACTCAACAATTGAACCTAATGATTGAATATTTTTGTAAAAAGTTACACGATTAATCGAACCAAACGAGCCTAGCTGAGCTAGCTAAATCGAGCTTGATCTGTGACCGAGTCAAACCAAATTTAGAATAAAACAGGATCTACCATAGCCATGCATCTTTTTTTAAAAAATAAATTGATTTAACATCACCGGAAAAAAACTCACATACGTTTAATCATCAAATGTATTGATAGAACTTTGTATCTTATGGAACCGAGCTGAGCTCAACCGAGTTTTACGACAATTTTCCCGAGCTAATATTTGTTGATTTCTGATTTACTATTTAGCAGTTGAGCCTAATGATGAATTTTTTTTGGAAAGAAAAAGTTACACGAGTAATCGAACTAAACGAGCCTAGTCGAGCCAGCTCAATCGAGCCCGATCTTTGATCCAATCGAATCAAATTTTGAATGAAACGGGGTCGAGAAGAGTCTTGCCTCTTTTCTATT